TGCTCTCTGTGCCATGGAGAAGAGGTGCGAGCGTGCCCCGTGGGGCTCGGTGGTCAGCGGTCTCCTTCCTGCTCAGGACAGCAGAGTTGCTTTCTCTGTTCCCAGTGCCAGTGAAAGATTTGCGAGTGATGGGCAGCTTTGGTCATGCCTGGACAGAGGTTTTGGCTCTGTGGCTCTTGTGAGGCTTCTCCCCTCCCTCTCCCACGAGGGCTGTGCCCCTGCCTGAGCCCCGGGCTCCTCCTGCTCCCTGCGAGTCCCGGGGAAAGCCGGCCGGGTGTTGTTTGCAGTAACAGAGGCTGAAGCCTCCTCTCATCCACAGGTCAGGTACAGTGTGGACAAGTGCACTGTAGACTTCCCTACACTGCTCCACCAGTGCACCTCAAAGCAGACATGGAAGGACCACTATCTAATAGGGGTGAGAAGGTAAATGTAGTCCCTGCTCCAGGCTCTGGGGCCAACCCTTGCTGCAGCACAGATTTGTGTGTAACGTCATTGCCACCGCTATCTCCTGTCAGCATCACTGCTTCTCCATGACCTCTGCAGCTGCCACCACCCATGTGCCTTCCCGTAGTTTTGGGGGCCCTAAGGTTGATGTACCCACTGTTGGTCCAAATGGCATCGCTGTGTTTTCCCCTGGACACCCCTCGCTGTTGTGACGTGCTGGGACTCTGTGCCTGCACCCACTGAAGGCTCTCACACCCTCCTGCCTGGATCCTGCCTGGATCCTCCCTGGCTGCCCCTTCCCGTGCCCTGAGCTCTGTCCTGCTCCGTTCCTCAGGTGCCTGCAGGTGTGGTCAGTGTGGTCAGCACCTGCCTGTTAACAACGGAACAGGAAGGACCTCTGGCACGTGCTAACTTCCCAGTTTTCCATGAGTTAACAAAAAAAATTAATTTCTTGTGGATTGCAGTATTGCATAAAAATAATAACAACTGGCTGTTAACCGTATCTGAAGTAAGAAGGTTATTTCACAATGTCTGGCCAGGAGACAATATTGCATGTTGATATTTTCTGTTCAGCTCTTACAGTATCTGTTCTAACACACAGCTTTTTGTGGGCAAGACTTCTCAAACATGACCCTAGTTTCAGTGACCTCCTTTTGAGGGAACACTGAGCCTTTGGCAATTCTGAGTGGTTTTTACTTTTGTCTTTACTGTTAGAAGTTCTCAGCACCTCTCTTTTCAGATCTCTCTCAGTGCAACAGCTTATTGAGCTCTGTTTCAATGGGCAGAAGCAGGGGCACAGCAAAGATACTTTTTCAGTCTAAATTCTACCATTTTGTCATATGTGCCCAGCAACCTGCGGAGTTTTCAGAAAATATTATACAGTCCTGGTGCTGTTGTTAGAGAGGCTTCACTGCAGCAGGCAGCTCCTGATTTAAATGCAATTACTGGCTTGCAGCTGTAGCAGAACAGGGTTCTCAGGACACGGAGCTGCCACCCCAACCAGCTCCTTTCCTAAACAATCACTTGTGTGTTGAATTCCTGAAAACCGAAGTAGCTTTTTTTCCCCCACATCCAACAATTTTTTAAAAGCAGAGATAGCCGAGATCCTGGGAAAACACATTTCAAAGCTGAGTGTGGGGTAGCCCTACCCTCCTCTCGGGGTGCCCAGTGCAGTGGCTGGTGAGGAGCGAGCTGTGACCATCAGCAGCTGCTTCCCCTGCCCAAAGGCCGGGATGGGGCTGGACCTGCAGAGCAGAGGGGTGCAGTGTTTGAGGGGAGCCTGTGCTGCTCAGTGAGTGAGGTGGACAGTCAGGACCGTTGGTCATGGTCTTTGTCCTTCTTGGTAGCTGCTGTATGACAGAACAGATGAATAAAGTGCTGTTTTTGGGGTGCTGCCTGGTTTTGTTTGGTTTCACAGCTGAAGGTGTGGTACACCTCTCCCACCTGGGCTCCTCAGTGGCTGCTCCTTCCCTGGGCAGGTACCCTGCCCAGGGAAGGAGCAGCCACTGAGGAGCCCAGGTGGGAGAGGTGGCTCCTGGGCAGTGAGGGTTTTCCAGAAAGGGTTTTCCAGCAGAACCCGTGTCCGTTCTGCTGCTCCCTGCAAGCACATCGCCGTGGCGAGGGCTGTGTCTCCTCTGACGCTCCCGTTTCCCCCCCAGGTCATCCTCTTTCAGTACTGACTGCGCGGACTCTTCCTCACCTGCCCGTGGCCCTGCCGGCCCCGCTGCCCCTCAGCCGCTGACAGCGCCCGGCCCTCGGGAGAAGCTCAGCCCCAGCGCTCTCAGTTCCTCCCACTGACCAGCACCTCGCGCCCGCGCCGATTTCTCCAGCGACGCTCTGTGTATGTGTGTGTTGAGTGCACAGTTACATTTTACACTTGTTTCTTGTGGACTTGTAGAATGACCGTGAGTCTCTCCAAGGCAGTGCCAGACGCAGTCAAAACTGGTGACTCTACTGTGCTCGCGAGTCTTGCTCCCAAACCCGTGGGAATATGAACAACCCAGAACATCCTGAGTCTCAGGGGGGTCGATGATCGCCTCTGAACACAAAGGAAGGAGGAATTTACGTGGTTTGGCCTGATTCTCTTTTTGCACCAGTGAAGCAGTTCCTGGACATCCCTCCTTCTTTCCACTCGCGTGTGTGGAATCTGAAATTGGCTTTTTGGCTCAGCAACTCGATATACAGACAGACCTTCCTGAGCCAAACTCGCAGGTAGCTGAGACTCCACTGAGTGGAAAACATGATGCCAGCTGGAAATAGGCAGTTTTTCTTCCTCCTCAAAGTGCTTTAGAATCACATGTCCTTTGATCACTCAAAGGTAAGTAAATCTTAGTGTTTTTCCCCCCGTTTTATAGGAGGGGAAGCAGAGATGTCCTAAACTGAGAGGAACCATGAGGGTTGGTGGCAGAGCCAGGTGTAGCACCCTGAAGTTTTTGATTGTTGACTTGTTCTTAGAACACTGAATATCTCTCTCCTCTCACAGCCATCTGCCAAATCTTTTTTTTTTTTTAAAGTTTTTTACTCTCGTTCTTTATTAACAAGCTACTTTATTTCCTTGGAGTCATATTGGATCACAAATGGGTGATTTCAGAATGTACCTACAGAAAACTCTCAGACAATCCATACTCTGGGACTGGGAAATGCTCGATGGAAGGTGGCCATAAAGGTGTAGAAATGTTCTGCCCTGCTGTGGACTCAAGTTCAGTCAGTGAAAAGAGTTGGGTAGAAACTGGAGACCAAACTGGAGACCAGTTAAAAAGGTGACAGCCACAGTAAGGCCGGCAGGAACCGTCGCTAGCCAAGTGGACAGCAAGGGGATGGCATCTTCCTTTGTCTGGCAGCATGGCTCTGATCCCCTCTGCCCTCCTGGCCTCCCTTGCTGGTCCTGGGATGAGGCTGCATCCCGGGAGGATGGCTGGGCTCATGGCAGCGGCCCAGGAGGTGCTCAGCAGTCTGGCCCCAAGTCAGGAAAAGGACTCCAAAACGATCCTATCCTTCATTGATGGTAATAACGAAAAGTAAACAAGAGACCTCTGCCAGCCCTCTCAGTTTGCACCAAGCCAAGAGCAGGTCTGCAACAAAACCTCTCTCCACGCAAGCACATGGGTCTGTCCTGCTGTGAAGTGTCTGTGAGGCTGCTCTTCCAAGAATGTGAAAGCCTACCCTGAGCCACAGCTAGTGAGGGATGTGACTGAGGCGTGCCCGAGGAGCAGGAGATGGGAATCCATCTGTTACATTACATTGGTTTTAATTGGAACTGTCGCTACTTGTGTTTTCCTCTCCGGGAGATCCTGGATCGATCCGTGGCATTGGCCAGGTGGGCAACCATGCCACTGCTCTGGCCAGCCCATATTGCTCACGTGGGGAGCCTTCTCCTGCCCGTGTCCCTGAACTCCGTGTGACACCAGCAGCCAGACACGCGGCTCCAGCTGAACCACGAGGAACGCTCCGGGAGTGGGGACACAGGGACGTCCGCTGAGGTGGCCACCGAGATCTCTTGGCTTGAGAAGCAACTGAGTACAGCACACTTTGATGTTGGTTGGAACAAATCCACACACACCCTCTCCTGTGTGTGTTGGTGCACTGAGAGAGCGATGGTACTACCTCGGACAGCTGGGCCAGTATCTGTCAAATTGCAGCCAGCAGTTCCAAATAACATTTGAAAGGAGACAGGGGAATTAAGTCCACAAAATGTTATTGTCACCTCCAGATGTGTGAGTGACCACTTCCAGGGTGTGACCAGTGACAAGGTGTTGTCACATGCCTGGCCTGACTGGAACCACCTCTGCAGAGGCGTCCCCTTGGGGAGGGGACAGTCGCCAGTTGCTCCAGTTGCACCAGGTGCATCCTTTTTGTCCTTTTCATAGCAATGAGGGAAGGATGAGTATTCCCTTGGCTGGCTGTTGGTGAGTGTTTGTCATCACGGGTTGAGGTGGGTGCTGTGTCCATGTGCCAGCCTTGAGATGCTCTGGGGGCTGGGGGGTCACTGAGGCCTGACTTTGTTCTCCATTTGTGCTTGCACATCCTAATGACCATTTAGTTGTGGAATTAGTGCCATAAAGGAATGGGTAGTTGTTCCATTTGACACTGAAGGAGAGATTCAGGCTGTAACTTGCCCTGATATTCCATAGTCTCAGAGATTACCCCAACTGTTCTGTTGAGGGAGAAAAGGGTTTGATGTGTTTCTCCCTTCTGTCTTGGCAATGCAGTGAAAGGGAAACTACAAAATACGTATGTGCTAAATACCAACTCGATCAGAAAAAGCCCACTTGGGAAATGTCCTGGATACCCAGGGGTTTGTAAGCGGTGCCACGGCAGGGCCGGAGTGCGAGGCAGGGCCGAGGGGATGTCGGTGTTTCTCTCCAGGGATGGGGGCTCGCCACAGACTGTGCTCGGGGCACTTCCCCCCATAAGTAGCCAGGAGCAGCTTTGCTAATTCAGAAATCAGGCTCTGTTTATATTAAGCCCAAATTGTTTGCAAAAACTGGAAGCAATTCAGCTTGTGCAGTTTTAGAGCTAATTATGTGTATGGAAAATACTCAACTGTACCAAGAATGTAAGAAATCTTCTAATTTATTCAATACATTGTTTCACAACATATTTCACACTGACTGTTGCCACTGAACCAAACCTTATCTCAGGTCATTTGCATTCATCTCCTGTCTGTGGATTAAAAAAAAAAATAAAATTAAAGTCATTCTCATTTTCTTAGTTTATTCAGTAATTGCCAGATGGGTTCTGGTGCAGCAATGCAGACTCCACGCACTAAACTTTTCCAGTTGCTATTTCCAAACCCTTTTGCAGACAGAACCCACTGAAGACAGCCAGTGAAAGGCTCTTCACTCCAGTTCAATAAGGTGACTAACAGAGCTCGGCTCTGGAGTGGGATGGTTTCAGCTTTTATCAGCAGTGATATTTTCTGGCTCATGCAGGTTAACCCAATGCCCGAGCTAAAGGTGCTTACAGAACTCACTCGTTGGGACAGGGAGTGGGAACCAATCCTGCACTACTATCGGTGATTTATCTGTAGGATGCCAGCTAAACACCAGTTTTATTTCATCTGCCAATCATTTTGTTGTAGCATGTTGCAATTCTGCATGTCTTGGCTACAATGGTTAAAAATTTTTTTCTCTGAATGAGTGGACAGTCAAGACTAATATTTATTTTAAAAAAGTAAAACAAAATTGTAAGCACTTTTTGTAAAACCAATGTCTGTTTTGTTACATACTTTTAATGTTGTGCTTTGTAAATGTCTTATTTGTGTAATAAATAAAGTTAATGCAAGTAGAAGTGCTGGCACTTACATCCAGAAAATGATGTAATTCCATTTTATTTTATTTTTAAATACTTTCTGGCTTACTAATCAAGCAGCAACCCACCCAGTTTTCCTCTTTTATTATTTTGTTAAACTCTGGCTTCAGGAGAGTTCAACAAACGTTCGTAGTAAATGGATATAATTTCCTAGTTAGCAAACCCGTCATTAAAGAATACCTCTGGTGTACATTATTACAATGATCAATCAATATCAAAGTACTGAGCAAAAAGAGAGGAAAGGAATTCACCAGGACAGGTAACTAAAATCTGGGAAAATAATGTTGATTAAGATGGATTTGAATGACTTCAACACCGAATCTGAGGCACTCTTTTTAACAAATTGTTTTCAGGCTTAATAATGTTTATACATACTACACTGCACACCTCTCAGGAATATTATTGTGAGTACAGTCGGCTTTTTTGCTGTGGCTTTTGCTCAGCATGACTGATTAAATGATTATTTCCATTTTTCTTTGAGCTGACAAAGATGACAGAAAGATTATATTCCTGTCGAGGGAAAGGGTGAGACAAATCCGCGAGGACAAATTGCATTTATTGTGAATCAGATTACCTGCTTTGCTGGAATATTGTCTAGGAAAAACGGGTTTATGGTTTTGGTTTGTGCTCAGTTGTTAAGTCCCAGGCTTTCCGGCAGTTCCGAAGGATCCACTCATGCTCATCATCGTCTGAAAGGGAGAGAAAAGAACGTTAAATATCCCCGAGTCAGATCTGCTCCTTGCATCCCTGGGCTCCAGTTCAAACAAGCCATTTTCCCCTTGAAAAATGAATCCATTTTTTAGCCACTGGTATATCTTAGAAAACACTTTTATTTTGTGTTTGTTTAAAAGATCGTGTGCTGTTGTGTGGGAATTTGTCAAGGCAGGAGGTACTGGCTCTGTGGCTGATTATTCATCTGTTTGATAAGCCCAGCTTGGGTGAACCACGAGATTTACATGTATAGATTTTACATTTTGCCTTTTGGGGCAAAATATGCAGGAGAAATGGTGAAACTATCAGAAATTAAGATAGGCGCTTTTAAAATACTCTGGCTGTGTTGCTTGTTGGTTTATAGAAAGTGAAGGTAAAGAAAAATTTCCAGTAAAATCCCAGGTTCTTGTCTTGGAGCTTTTCTTTCCATGCTGTTTCTGAGATGTTATGTTGTGGCAGGTATTGATAAGCTGATGTAGTGGCTGAGAGATATTTTAGACCAACTCCTGTGTCCCTTGTTAGTATTCATGTCTGTCGTATTTATTCTGAGAGCATAATGACAGTGTGGAAAGAAAATAAAAGCAAAGACAATGTGGGAAAAAAACAACTGGCCAGCAAAGTTTGAATAGTAATTTTCTGCATGATTTACAAAAAAATAGCTTGGTGAATGTTAAGTTGTGGCTTCTTAATTTCAGGGATTTAACTAGTCTTGTCTCCAAAAATTGTTCTGCAGCTTTTTCCTTTGTGTTTGTGTAGGAGAAAAGAGATCTGTGTAGTAAACCAGGAAAAACAAACTTCAAAAAACCTTGGGGGAGAAAAAAAAAAATCAAAGTATTACTTACAATAATACCTGTATTTATTTTTATACAAATGAAATATATTCGAGCTGCTTCTTGTGTTTACCAGTGTCTTAACAAATTCATATTAGCTGCTTTTGATGTGTGTAAAAATCTAAATGCTTGAGGGTTTGTGGCAGCCCTTGTTACATGCAAGAACAGGGGCTGTGACCATCCCGGTCCCATTTTTTCACCCTGCAGAGCCCCCTGCCTAGGCAGGTGAAACAAAATGGAGAAGGAAGCATGTTGCTTCTCTAGGAGTCACATTTTCCTGGAGATCTTCTGCCTGTGGAGCTGTGCCTTTATGCTGAAGTGACAGAGCAGCATTTGAAACGCAGAGGGAGGAAGATGCTGGGGAGGAAGTGTTAAGCAAAGAAGTCTCCAGAGGGGTGTGTGACAAATTCTGATGCACGGGTTTGGGGGCTGATCCTACTGCCCGTGGTGGTTTGTGAATCAAGCTTTGTCTTTTCTTTTTTCTTCCCTTTTTTTTCTTTTTTCCATGCTGCCCTCCCTTTTCTCCCATTGCTGGCCCAGAGAGGGGTGCACACCCTGAGGTGCTGCTCACACCCAGCCCTGGTGCATCCTGGTGCAGGAGGAAAGGTGCCAAGGTGCTGGCTTTAATGACTGCAAAATAGTTATAATTTGGGTAAAATAGCTACGCTCAGCTCTTTCTGTGTTTCACTGATTTTTTTTTTATTCTTTAGAGATCCACAGATCCATAACAAAATATCCTGTTAATGGCACATTTCTAATTTGGGTGTAAAGTAGGAGAAAATAGATGCTGAAAAAAATATGCTAAAAGGGAAATTAAAAACATGAGCACAGAATCCTGCTTAAAGACCATGCAATCCTCACAGGCAGATTCCACTGAGGGCTGCAACAGGAATGCAAATGTGGTCCTTAAGCTTTCTTAAAAACAACATCCAAGCCATAATCAATGTGCTGGCTTTTGTTCTATGCACTAGGTGTTGCAGACGTGATCACGTGAGCCTTGCCTGTGACAGATATTGTCCAGTCTGTGGCTCTGTGGTTTTAGCTGGAATTGCCTTAACTAAAAAAAAATATATATAGTTTAACTGAGCTGTAATAACTGCATGAAAAGGAAACTTTTTGTTCCTGTCATGGTGAAGGAATAAGAAAACTTAGAGATGCCCATGTCTGGCTGGTGGCTGGGCACAGCTGGCTCACCTGAGGGCTAGAAATAACCAGCCTGAGTCTGTCTGAGCCCTTGGCAGTGCTCACTCAGCTGAGCATCAAGGCCAGAAGCACAAAGAAAGGCAGATGCTAACTTGGCTTCACAGCTTTCCAACATACCCTTGGTTTGCCCAGACTGACTCGTTCTGTTCTCTGTTGGTCTCCTAGGAAAGCACCCAGGACAAGTCACTCCAAGTATCCTAACCCTGCCAGACTGATTCCAAAATCTCTTGGTTTGTGCAGTGATCTGAGCCCATGCAAATTAAATACATGTTCATAAGCCCTGCTTAAGCTGCATGTCGTTTAACCAGATGTAAAAACTGAATGAGAGATGTGAATTTCAACTTTGTGCATGAAAAGGGAAAAAAACCAGATGCAATGACTCAACATGAAGTAAATCCCTGGAGCTGCCATCCAGCCCAGGGGATGTACAGCTGGTCCTCGGCCTAGGTAAGGGGGAATGAAAGAATTGGTCCAGGATAGGAAGAAGAACCACAGCCCAGGGATGAGAATGGCTCCAGGGCTGGCTATGGGAGAGGAGGCAGGGAAATATTAGAATGTAAAGAGTTAAGCTATGGTAAAACATACTTTTGCTACACTAAAGAAGACTGGTTGATAATTACTGTAGTTTTAGGGCTATTTGAATCAGTGCAGCTGCAACCTCTTCAGTAGTAACCCCTGAAACAAGACAAACTGGGTTTATTGTACTGAACAAGTCTTAAAGCTCCTCCCTGATTGTTAGTAATTGGCAGCAATGGACTTAACAGCCTCTTGACTACCCTTTTTACACTCTACCTGACTGTGCAGCTAACAATTTAAATCACAGATGCCGATCCTTCTTTGTGGCAGCTGCTTGTTAACTACACGTTCCTCTTTTTCTGCCACTGGCTGCTTCCATAACCCTGCAACACCAGGGTTAGATTGGAGAATCACATTTCATCAATATTTAAAATGGAATTAAACCTTGAAGTTTGATTAATGCTACCAGATAGTGAGTTGTAATTACTATTTTGCAAATTACAATTGTTTGAATATGTTAATATGATTGTCTAAGCACATCTTCACCTTCAGAAGTAATTTGCTTTTTAAAAAAGATTTGAAAAAAATACAAACTCTTTAATCAGTGCTAAATTATCACCCTGTGCACAATTAGGTAGAATGGGGTTCTTCGTGTGGTGCGCTGAATTTTGTGTCAGCATATTTATCTTTAAAAGTTTATCCATTTTTTTAGATTTTCCTCAGTAGAATAAACAGTGATGGAACAGACTTTGCTGAAAGAGGACTAACCATGCTGGTGTTTGAAGGTAAAGGAAAAAAGCTTTGTCTGAGCATTTCATTGCAATCTGGTGTATCCCTGTGCAGTTAGTAAATGTTACCCAGTTATTTCTACCAAAGTCAGTGAAATATTATCATTATTATCATGACATATTATTGGACTCTTGAAACTGAAACAGCAAAAGATTGTAATGGATGAGCTCTTGAATTATTTCCTTGTGTCTCAATCAAAAATTAGATCAGTTTCTAGCACCCACTAAATATATCTTGAATTTTGAGCTCCTCAGCCAGCCCACACTGGGACAGCTCTGTCATTTTTGTGATTAATTCAGGCTGTTTTTCATTAAGCAGGCAGAGGCACATGGAGCCAACCCTGGCAGCCACCTGCAGGACTGGTCCCCAGAAACAGCATCAGCCCACAAAAGATGATTAAGGAGGGGTGCAAGTGTCCTGATCTCCTGTTGGACACTGTCCACACAGCCAGCAGGTCAGTCTGGGGAGTCTCTTTAGGTAAATAAGACCCAGCTAAAGCTGTTGGCTGTAATGTGTTCCCTGAAGTTGCCCATTTCAGAATTGATTCTTCTCACCAAATATTGCCTGGCTAGTTTCTGCCTTGTTTTGGGGGGTTTTAAGGGAAGGTCCAAATGTTGGCAAAGTCCAAACAGGTGTCACAACCACTGCTAGGTGTTTTCCACAGTGAGCTCAAACTGCAGCCCACTTAAATCAGTGGATTTCTGCTCTCTCAAAATGAAAACACTCGCCTCCTTTCCAATGTTCAGGCTAAAAGTAGTGGCAGAAGAGATTTCCCCAAATACCACACTCCAGATTTATCTCTCAACTGGGATTAGAAACAGCTGAAAATTCAGGGTGGCCTTGCTTCAGGGTGCTTCCAAGGGCTGACATGAGAACACACTGTAATTTAGGTGCGTTTAATCTTGCTATATTAAATGCATATTGCAAAGTTTAGAATTATTTGCTTCTAACTATCATGTTTCTGTGTTGCTTATGGAAACCTCAGCTGTGAGAGACTTCTGAGGATTCTGCATGCTTAGGTGCCTGCCATGGCACAGAGCTGAGACTGACTGGCAAAATTGTCATGGAATCTTCTCTTAACTATTGCTTTCCCAGGAAAATACCTAGAAGTCTGCTAAAATTAGAATACCTAGTGGTTTGAACAGGGGAAATATGACATTGTTCACCTTAAAAACCTTGTCTGACTGTGTTAGGTCTTGGTAGCTGTATGTGTTCCTGATGTCTTGGAGGCTGTGTCTGCCCTGGAGGCCTGGTCACTCTGAAATTGAGATCCACGCCTCCCTGCCCTGCCAAGGGCAGGCTGAGCCCTGATGTGAGTGGGTGCCATCCCTCTGTGTGCTCTCTTAGGGCCAGGAGGGGAGGCAACGCCCCTGGGATGTGGCACCAGCGGGACAGGGAGCACTGGGAGTGGGCACTGTCTGTGCCCACGGTTTGCAGGGTGTGTTTGGATGGTCTGTGTTTACAACAACCATCCTCCAGCAGCAGCTGAGCTTCCTCCCCGTTTGCAGAGGGCCAAGCACACGCAGCCCATTGTAAACAACAATATCACGGAATTCTTTCACATCCCTGGCTCCTCCCAGCACCCGCAGCGCAGTTTATCGTGTTCTTCCACTGCACAGTCACAATGACAAGTGATAGCA